GCATTGAGTTCTTCATTAAACGCTTGGCGAGAATTTTGTTCGATGGTCATTACTCGATTTGCTAATCCCTCTACCACATTTAAGAGCATGGCAACGACATCTTGCAGTTTTCGAACGTCCTCTTTTAGACTTGACGAGTCTTCCATTGTATTATCTAAGAAAAGACTTTGATCCTCCTCAATCATGGCCACTTCATCGAGAGAGGTCATATAAGTTGTCTCGATTATGGGCTCTCCTACATGTGTGATAAGAAGTGATGGATCGAAGGGTGCTTGGTCATCTTCGATGGCTAGAATCTCGGAAGTTTCATCGTTATCGATCAGATCTTGAATAACTTCTTTGAGTTTCCAACACTCCTCAGTGTCGTGACCCTTTCCTTGGTGATATTTGCAGTGCTTATTAGGGTCCCACTTAGGTGGTCTGGCTTTCAGAACTGGATCTTTGATGGGCCCTATGGGCATGACTAGTCCTTTGTGATGTAGCTTCTCGAAAGTCGTTTCATAACTCATACCAAGTGGAGTGAACATTCTTTTTGACCTTTGGATTCGTGGTTTAGAGGCGTTCGTGGCATGTACTTCATTAATGGGAGAGGAAGAAGAAGGATGGTCGTTCTTCTTTCCTCTCGCACCATTATCTTTCAGAAGGTCATCTTCAATGTCAATGTCTATGTTATACACAACCTTGAAAGTATTTAAATTGTATTGGTACTTTAAGTGCCTTGAATACTTCCCTTGGAGATTCTTGATAAACATCCTCACAGATTCTTTTTCGATAGGAACCTTGACCATATTAGCGGAAGTTTCCCTCCATTTATTGAAGAAAGACGTGAACCCTTCGTTTTCTTTTTGTTTTAACATCTCAAGTTGTTTGTGGTCTGTTTCGTCTTGGATGTTACACTTATATCTATCAATGAAAGCGTTTGTTATTAACTCCCAAGAAGAGGTTTTCACTTTCTCGAGGGAAAAGAACCATTGTTGACAAACGGTTTCGAGAGACAGTGGGAACAGAGAGGGGAATACCTTCTTATCGATACCCTTAATGCTCATTATAGTTTCAAAAGCTCTTAGATGGAAGTAAGGGTTATCTATTGCCTTGAATTTAGGGATGTCAGTGGCGTTGAACTTATGCGTAAGAAGTTCCTTGTCCAGTGAGACCCCTTGTGAACTCATGCCCTGAAATTTATAGTCACTAGATAGCTTGCTCAAACTTTCTTGCATGAGGTTCATTTGTTATTGCTTCACGGGATCATCGATCTTGAGCGTAAGGAGCTGCAGTGTCTCAGTCACGGTAACCAATTGGTTCCTAAGCTCGTTGACTTCTTCTTGACTTGCCATTACCTTTTTAGCCTTCCTCTTTTGACGAATCGGTTTATCAAAAGTGAGACTTGAATAAAGAGGTTGTCCTTGATTAATCGTCCTTCTCTCCTCGACCAAGTACTGTGGAAAAGGAATTTGGGGATACTTATTGTTAATTATTTGACTCAAGATTTATTCGACATGCAATGGATGGAGGAAGTTAAGAAAAATGGAATAGAATGTGAAGAAGAATGATAGAGGTGGAGGGATATGAAGAATTAGGAATAGAATATACCCCCAACTTAAATGACGGAAAAGACCGACCCATACGTGAACCTAAGACATGGTCATGGTGATGTGTACTCAAAGTGTGCGCTAAGACTAGTGAGTGTAGGTGACATGTTAAGACTTGTGTCATGACCATGTGGCTAGACTATGTGACTAGATTCAAGCAAAGACTAAGTTAAGACTTCACGTATATGCATTAAACTGGATAGACTGTGGTATTTTAGTCACAACATTTTATCTGTGACTCTTATTTGAATGAAAGTAGCGCCAAATTAAAGATAAAATTCGGGGCTACAGATCCATAGGTTTTACGACTCGTAGTTCTTCCTATAACTCCGGCTATGACCAAAACAAGTTGACGTTTGTGCAGTATACGGGAATAAAAAATCCGGGTTGACTTAAAGGAATTATGACTCGATTTTATATTTATTTATTAGCTCAAATTAATTAATTAATTAATTAAACATAGTCCTTTAGTCATTAATTAGTTTATTTAGTCTTAACACAAATCAAACAAACGGTTAAGAGAAACATAGAATATATGCACAACAAATAATGCACAATTAGTCCAGTAGGCACAATATGATGCAATGAGTTTGCAACCTAACCATGGCTCTAGTTCTCTAAAGTTCGGGATATGGTTTACTCAATAGAGGGTCCATGGTTAATTGTCCAGATGCACCGCGCGGAAGCCTAACCGTGAAGGGTTGGCGCGAGTGGATGGGACACCGCGAGTTTTAAAAAAAACTCGCTTCCATGGTTTGGTGAATTCAACAATCTCGGATGTACCCTTTGTTGCACGGAACGTTCAATCGAATAGATGGAGCATGAATTCCCAGAGGGTTATGTCCATATGTAGAACACATATGGGTTTCAGAAAAGTGAGAAAAAATTCAATTAGGAAGTAGGATCGAGCAAACAATACGAAAAAACCGGTCGAAATTATAACGCATATTTCTTGCTCGGTATTGGGGGAAATTGGCGCCAGCAATCAAAGACTGGCGCCAGCTTTTAACTGTAGCGCCTGGCGCTAATGCTGGCGTCTGGCGCTACGGTTAAAATGCTGGCGCCAATGCGGCGTTATTTCGGTCCTAGTTGTGAAAGATATTTCTCAAATTTCCTACGTGTAAAATCCTATGTTTTTAACTCATTATGGATGGTCTTTCCAATGAGATCTTTTTTATGCATATGACAATAATGTTAATCAAGATTACGCACATGAAATACATAGAACGTTTCGAGTCTCATCCAATCATTCTAAATCATTGCCGAAACAAATTCAGGAATTAAAATAGAAATCCTCCCCAGCGGAGTCGCCAAAAACTATAGGGAATAATTTCAAGCTTTAATCCCACTAGCTTGAACCCCACTGTGATCATACACTAAAGTACGGTGGCGTCCAAAAGGGAAGAAGATAGAGCAAAAGAGTCGCCAACAAGTTTTTAGGAACTTGTAAACCGTTCACAGGGTGAAGGTTACACCCCTTAACGATCCAAGAGATCGTTAACTCCATAAGGTCTAGAACCAAATAAGGGTTCGGGGATGAAGGTACAAATCCAACCTAAAAGAGATTGAACCTGCCCTAATAATAGGCCTCTACTTTATTTTGATCGTATTCATGGCGCTTTCTGACTAACATGCAATCAATAGGATTACCCTAAACCTGTTCATCTATGTTGGTTGAATATAATGCACAAATAAATCTATTATTGGCGATCACTTGAATTATAATCATATTAACCCTAACAAGATTATTAATTATCTTATTAAGCGTGATTACAAGTATTAATTCCCTTTAAACATGCATAAAAGGCGTGATCAAGCAATAACAATAAAAATCAAGCAACATAATAATCATCATAACAATTATAATCATAATTAAAATAACAATCATAATAATTAAAATAATCATGTTAAAGCATAATAATAGCAAGATCCTAGGCATGATACTAACAAGATTAATAACAAAACCTAGCATGTCACTAAACATTGAAGATCTAAACTTTAACCCTAACATGATACTAACAATCATAAATATTAGGAAGAACATAAAAGGCATCATACTTTTAATCATACTTGGTATTAAAGTTACCCTAGACATGATACTAGGAATTTATTGTTGTCACCCTAAACATCAAATTAAGGAAAACATCCTAACATGATACTATGAATCAAAATAACAATCTAAGCATGATTTCTATATCATATTATCAATTAAACCATTAAAGTACTTACTTGGATGCCTCGTACCTCTTACTAATAACAAAATACACACGTTAGTAACTTCAAGGAAAATAATAATTTAAACAATTAAATTAAATAATTGAAATAGAGATTTGGGACTAAACCCTCAGAAATTAAACCTTTCACGTCTAGGGCGAAGGCAACTTCGAATATGGCTAGGTGTTTCTAGATCTTGTGAATGCGGAATTTTGTATGTAAAAAGCAATTTTAGAAAAGAGAGAAAGATGAAGAGATGAATGAATTAAGAGAGAATTAGAGAATTAATGATTGCGAATGAAAACTGATTGTTGATGAGAATTCGTGTGAATTGGTGAATGAAAACGGAGTTTTTAATACGTTATTTATAGAGAAATTAGCCAAAAAGATAAAATAAACAAAGCAGAGTCTGACGCACAAAAAAACAAAGCTAGCGCAAACCCTGGCTAACCGGCGCCAGGCACCAACACTAGCGCCAGACGCCAATGGCTAGCGCCAGGCGCCAATGCCTGGAGTCAGGCGCCAAGCCTGGTTTTAACGCGTTTTCTAAAATCAGATAAGTTTGTCGTACTGGAGGATAAAATCATATAATTTCCTCGAAAATGCTATTTGATTTTGATTAAAACTCTGAAAAGTCAACAAAAGTCAATTTATCAATGCTAATTGAATTAGGAATGAAAAGAACCTTCTAGAAGATTCTAGAAGACTAAAACCATTCCTAATTGCATTAGGAATGATAAATCATATTAGGCCCTCCCCTAGATCATTGGGCCGTATATAAAGCTCAAACCGGGCCCAGTTTGGTAAATTGGCCATAACTTCCTCAATATTCATCGGAATTGGGCTTATAATATATCGTTGGAAAGGTCTTGTCAAGCCCCATCCAACTACACTACTATTGGACCCATATCATGGACCGACCAAACTGGATTGGCTGTTTTCTTAAAATAAGTTTTCAAAAACAAAGAGAAAAGAAAAGAAATTAAAACTTTCCGCAACACTAGACTTTCCACACTTTCGCTTCATTCGATTATGATTCGACGCAAAAGGTACTCATCACCGGGTTTGGTTTTGGGGAGACACAAATGGGTGTCTACACATCCAAAGCTGACAAACAACCACAATATAGAGAGACTCAGATGGGTGTTGGCACACCTCAGCCCTGCCACACAAACAGAGGACCCAACTTATAATGACATGGACAATGTCATTCACATAGATGAAAAGTGGTTCTATTTGAATCAAGAGACAAGAAAGTTTTATCTACTGCCTAATGAAGAAAATCCCTATAGGTGTGAGCAGTCCAAAAGGTTTAAGGTTAAAGCCATGTTCATGGCCATGATAGGAAAGCCGCAGCATAACAGAAATGAGGAAATGATTCATGATGGCAAGTATGGCATATTTGGGTTTGTTTATGAGCAAAGGGCAAAAAAATCCAGCAAAAACAAGGCAGCAGGAACAATGGAGTTGAAAGCATTGCAGTCAGTTACTAAAGATGTGATCAAAGACATGTTGGTCAATAAGTTAATTCCAACCATTATACAGAATTGGCCAGCACACTTGTCTAAGGATATTGTCATTCAATGGGATAATGCAAGTTCCCATAAAATTCCAACAGATCTAGAGTTTGTGGCAACTTGTACACAAAATGGATTCAACATCAAGATGGTGTACCAGCCCCCACAATCTCCAGATCTCAATGTCCTAGACTTAGGGTTGTTCACAGTTATGCTATCAATTCAATATAAATCATTCCCCAAAATGTTGAGGAATTAGTTAAAGTTGTGGAAGACGTATACAACACATTTGACCCAATATCAAACAAATTCACATGGATCACATTACAGTCATGTATGACTAAAATTCTGAAAAGGAAGGGAGGCAACAACTTCACTCTACCCCATATGAAAAAGAGAAGACTGGAACAACTGGGAATTCTGCCAGAGAGGCTCACTGTCAGCCCTGATTTGGTGGCACAAGCTGTAAACCACCTTAATGACAGGTTTAGACCAGTTAACCAGACACAAGTAGAAGAAGATCATGAAACGGAAGTAGATGTTGATTGAGAAGATCTTAGCATAAATATTTTGTGCAGGTAGGGACTTAAAAATATATTATGTGGTGTTTTGTTTTTCTTTTTTGGCTTATGGGTGTAAGTTAGTTTTTAGGCAGTCCTTAAGACCTACATATAAGGGTGGACTGCCACACATAACCATATTCTAATGTATGGGACTCAATATCTATGGTTATGTGTAATTTTTGGGGGACTCTATGCAGTATGTAAACATGCTATGACATGCTTTTGTTAAACATGAAATGGAAGTATGATTATTGTAGTAGTATGTTCCAAAACAAATTCACTTCTTTTAGGTTCTCAAAAGGAAAAAAAAAGGAAAATTCCATCAGAAGTTTGAATTCTAAGCATAACAAAATTGAGTTGTTTGTTACCTCAACACTATTTCAATCTAAAAATGGTAGATAAAAAAGTGGAGCAAAGCAAACAACTTTTTGTTTATGATATGAGTCTCTTCATCATATGGAATTTAGGGTGGTTGATGATCTTTCTCATAGGTCATTGAGATCAATTAGGGACTCAATTAGCACATCTAGCAACAACAACAAATGATCTCTCTACATAGGTCATTGAGATCAAGGGGGACTCAATTTAGGCCATACACCAAAACCAAAACAGTTCAAAGACCCATCATCATCCATCAATCAGCATCCCCAATATCTAAAATATCCAACAACATAGGAACAACAAAGTACAAAGGAAAAAGATCAACATTAGCTAACAAAGAAACAAGATAAAAGCCAACCTAGCCTCAGTTTTATCTGACAAAAGGACAGTACCAAAGTACCCAACATTAGATTCAACAAATCAATATATCCAAGCAAAATTTCAGAATTATCAACCCATTATCCAAAATTACCAACAACATATCTAAACAATCTAACAAATGGTCAGCATGAACAAAGGGGGACTCAATTTAGATCAGATGAACATGAACATATAGGTAATCAATTTAGTTCAGATGAACATGAACTTATAGGTAATCAATTTAGATCAGATGAACATGAACAAAGGGAGAATCAATTTAGATCAGATGGTCAGCAATGAATAAAGTGGGACTCATTTTAGGTAATCAAACAACAAGAATATAGTATCAACAACATATAGCCAACATGAATAGGCAACAACATATATGCAACTTAGATCAAGGGGGACTCACAATAGTATTAACATAGCATCAACATATAGCAAACAGAGCATCAACAACACCCAACAGAGCATCAACACACCATCAACAGTAGCCAATAGAGCATCAACATATAGCTAAACAGACCAACAACATATAGCCAACAACATATAGGCAACTTAGAACAAGGGGGACTCAATATAGCCAACAAAACATCAATATATAGCAAATAGTGCATCAACAATACCAAACAGAGCATCAATAATACCCAGCAGACCAATAACATATAGCCAACAACATATAGGCAACGTAGAACAAGAGGGACTCAATATAGCCTACAGAACATCAACATATAGCAAACAGAGCATTACCAATAACCAATAGAGCATCAACAATACTCAGCAGACCAACAACATATAGCCAACAGAAGAACAACATGATAGGACAGAGCAACAACAACATATAGCCAGAACAACATCAACATGATAACCAACATATGACCAATAGCCAACAGATAAACAATAGCCAACAGATGATCAACATAATAGGCAAGAGATGAACAATAGCCAACGAATGAACATAAACAATAATCCAGCCAATAGATTAACAACAACTTATACGCAATAGATGAACAACAACATATAACCAACAGAGCAACAACATGATAGGCAATAGTAGTCACTCGGATAATCATAAAAAGTAGCCATAAACAAGAAAATTCGAGCTAATTATAGGGGCCAATGCAACAATAGGGACACATAAAACATCATAAATGCTAATAAAGATAAAGGATAGAGAATGTTACGCGTCTGAGTCATTCAAATGGGTGGAATTTACCATCCACAAACTTGAGGAAGTCCAGACACGTTGGGTCAATATGCTCTTCATCAACCTCGATGCCAGATCTCACCCTTTTGTTCCCAACCTTTGCATCTTCTGAGGGGAAATACATTTTGGGTGGAGGACATGGTATAACCTCAGAATTCCTCCTCATTGTCAGCTTTGCCTTCCACCTTCTCCTTCCCTTTTCCCCCCTCGTTTTTTTTCACCTTCAACCACCTTCGGCTTTTCATCTTCCTCTATTTGGTCACTAATCTTCACCCCCTCCCACCAATCTTCCTCATAATTTCACATCTACCAATTTTCCGAGGTCTGTATGTAGGGTTTTTGGGTTTGACGGTGCTAGGGTCTACCTCCGGCAAAGCGACAAAGTTTACCCCCCCTTCGCTTCCTCCAGCGAATTCAAGACCTTTCCCAAAGCTAGCAACCCAACGTCGGACAAAACCTTGCGAGCGTCACCGGAATTGAAAAACCGGCAAGGCCACTCAGCATTCGTGTCAAGAGAAATGACCAGATCAAACAGAACACTAGCCTCCTTGTCGTCAGTGGTTACATAGAAAACCTTCTCTAAGGGACTCAAATCAACGATTTTTCACTTATCCATCGAGAGATTTGTAGATCAAGGAATAAATGAAGGGAATTATGGAAGATCTGAAGGAGCAATTAGAGAAAATGAGAAGAAATGGAGGATTTGATGAAGGGGATGGACAGAAGAGAGAGAAAGTGAGGCGTGAATTGGGGAAGTACAAGGGTTAGGGTTCTTAAATTTTTTACTAATGTTGAATGTGGGCGTTGATTTAAGTTAGGGTGGAAGAAATAAATGAGAGTAGTTGGGAGTTGATTTAATTTTAGTGGGAGAGATTAACAAAAATCAATTTACTTAGGGCTTGTTTGGCATCAGTTTTGGTTTTCCGTTTCCTGTTTTTTTTAAAACCAAAAACAGGAAACAAGAAAAAGGTGTTTCCACTTTTTAGTTGTCACTTTTCAAAATTATCATGATTTTAATAAGTTCAAATAATTTTTGATTCATTATGGGACATATATCATATACTTTAAAAAACCAAAAAAACAGAAAACCACAGTAATGCCAAACGAACCCTTAGTAATTTAAGCAAAACAGATTACCAATTGTAAGTATAGATTAAAAAAATAAGTAAGGGCATAACTGTAATTTCACACAAAACAAGTTAGTAAAATAGGAAAGTTTGAACTTTGTTGCACATAATGTGTAGTTTCCGTATAAGAAAATTGTTGCAGATTTTATGAAACGGAGGTAGTATTTGATAACAAGGAAAAATAAAAAGAAATAAAATAAAGGGAAAAGAAATAAAGATTGACCTTTTGTGTGGAAAACATTTGGAGATTAATGGGGTGTTTATAGGAGAGAGTTGTAGGGTAAGTAGGAAGATTGAGCCTCATGAATATAATGGACCAATTAGGGAATAAAAATGGATTAGGCTTTGTTTTACGATCATGAGTTGTAAGATGAAGGTTCATAAAATAGTTTGTGCTAAAATAATTTTTTAATCCAAATTAATAATTTAAAACTTTTGGAATTAAATTCCGGAAAAAATTAAATAAATATTATAAATAAAATAAAATTTCATTTATAAAATATTTAAAAATACGGGGGATTACATCATCATTCTGACCACTTTCCCTTCTTGATTCAGCATGAGCATGTGAACCACAAAATCTAGAACATGAAGCATTGATCCTTCTCCAGAGTAAGTATTACCCACTACCTGGTGTTTAGGGTAAAAATACCCTAGACACGTGGTCCAATGAGAGGAAACCACGTGTCAAGCTCAGGATGGCCCATGTGGCTTAAACATCCTCTTGACACTTGGTGCCTTCAGATATACCTCTGAAATTGCAGCCTTCAAGGGCCTAAATCCCTAGAAGCGCCGTTTTACGGCGCAACCCACTAAAAGTTAGGTCAAGTGACCTAGATTGGGGCACGCTCTCCAAGGACCCTATAAATAGGGAGATATTCCCCCATTTTGGGGACACATTCAATCATTTATTACACCTGCATTCTCTCACATCAGAGAAAGACCTAAGCTTGGAATCCGAGCAGATACCCACCTAAATTTCCGTTCTCTTTATTCCTTTTCAAGTTACTAACTTGACCGTCGGAGGCGGAGCTCCAACCACCCGGAGTCTCCGTTATTTTGCAGGTACAGCTCGGCCGGATCAGACTTCGTGACATAACTCTCCCAAGGGACAAAAACCCCAAAACATTTGGCGCCGTCTGTGGGGAGAGTACCTCGAAGATGGTTCAAGAGTCTGTACCACCCCCTAACCGTCTGGGCGAAGACCCAGAAGTCTTTACAGACCATGAGGACGTAGATCCTCAGGTCGAAACCTTTACAGTCGAAGACGGCTCTATCAGAATCAAGCGCATCCGGCCCAAGAGGGTACAAGCTGACCCCTTGGACAGCCGGAAAGGGAAACCCATACGGCCGCTGGATCAGCCCTAGTCACCTGAGACGAACTCATGAGATTCATGACAAGTTTCAAGGGTGAAATTAAAGAGATGATCACCCAAAACCGGGCTAGCCCAAGTAAAGGTCAGTCGGCCAAGAAGACTCCTCTGGAGAAGGGAAAGTCAGTCAGAGACCGGCAGCCCACTCCTCAACCAAAGGAGAAGGCAGCCAGGACCATTGATTGGTAAAAAATTATTCTCCCTAAGATGAATACCAACAACACCCGCCGCACTCAGCAGCCGGTGGGAATTAAAAAACCAACTCTTGATGCCCGGGAGATTATCAACCGGAAGATAAATCAACAGTTGTCTGAATCGACTTCTACTTCGAATTTTCTAGACAGCTTTAACAATACTTCTGCGGGGAACGCACCTTCCTTGCATGAGAGTCAGACAGGCGGTAATACCGTCCACTCTGGCCCTCAGATGATTGGGGCTGCACCATATTTACCTTCTCAGGTCTATGGTCAGTACCCATCTTACTATATGCAGCCGGCTCTCTTCGGAGGTCAGGCGGCATATCACAATGTCCAGCCAC